TTGCTTGGTTGCTTGGTTGCTTGGTTGCTTGGTTGCTTGGTTGCTTGGTTGCTTGGTTGGTTGGTTGGTTGGTTGGTTGGTTGGTTGGTTGTGTGCTTGTGTGTGTGGGTTTGTGTGCGTTTGTGCGTGTGTGTGGAGGGGGGCTCAAACATTTTGAAGGACACGTTGTCAAAAGAAAGATGCACCGAGCATCCTTGCGAGCTACTCCGCGTTTGTGAGTGAGGAAACCATCACATGCTGTGTTGGAGCTGATTCTCTGATAACTTTCTTACCACAGGAGGTTGGTATTCACCTTTGCCTCTGGCAGCACAACTCCATCTTCAATGAACATTGATTTCTTTTTCGAGCAAACACTTTCTATACAGTGGTTTCAGAGTAGATGGCACAATCACCAAGAGATGGTTTATATGGACCCCCATGTAAAGGACATCTTGAGGTCTGTGCCATCTACTCTGAAACCACTCTTCCAAACAACGGCTTTTTTGCCGTCTGAGAGACGGGAGAGCCCTGAACAGGAAGAGAACTCCCTGCAGTTCTCACCTGTCCGAGGAAGAGAACATGCACCTGTCCAAGGGAACCGATGTCGTGAGATTGAAAGTAGTTGGATTGGAGTGGATTCTGTAGAGCACTCGCGCACCTTGGTGTTTGTGCCCAAAACTGGAGCAGTCTAAGAAACATCGAATCTTCGCACGACTGGTTACGAACCTGAGAAAGAAACATGTCACATGTTGAAGATGTTCTCCCCGATGACTGTTGTCTTTGTTCAGCGCATGCATATCGTCTCCATACAGCACATCATCTCCCGAAAGGAAGTTGAAACATTCTAATTACAATTTCCAAACTGGTCAAATCAGCATCTTGGAACACTGGTCATTTCAGCTCAAGATTATTCGATTACAGTATTAGACACTGTGACAGAAGTGATTGCACAGCCCAAGACAGTCTTGACGTCTCCAGCTTGGAGTTTGCATCGATCAATACACTTAGAACAGTTGAGCTGTTCAGGTTCGTTCTGAAGAAAAGTCTGAGAATCCCAACCCTCCAAATTGGTGTGGTGTCGTTTCTTGGGCCAGAAGTCCTCAACATTCTCGAGTCTCGAGCAGAGTCTATACAGTATAACGTGCCACCACACAGAAGCTTGGCAACATACACTGGCCACGACAAGCAACAACAGGAATGTCACTTGTGCCAGCCACTACCAGCCGACTGGCTTGATGAGGTAAAGACTTTCTCAAGACTTTGACAGCTCCAAATCGGTGATGGTTCTCCAAGTCCCAAACACGAGCCCTGTTCCATCATTGGTCTGGGCTGGCCCAAAGGTTTTGACCCAAAACCGTGTTAGGCCAAACAAGAACAGTATGGGGACTTTTTAATGCATTATTTTGGCTATATACAGGTATCAATTCTTAACCACCACTAATGCTAGAGACTCTGGCAGAACTTTTGGTACCCACGAGCCCGGACACGGCGCTTTCTTAGCAATTGCGTCGCTGCGGTTGCCGGGCAATCAGCGATGGTGCGTCCTCCGGCATTCTTCGCGACGACTCTCTTGCTTGAGGGGGTGACATTGGAGATTTCCCAGATTTTTTCACTTCTTATTAGGACCCTGGAAGACTGATATCGCTGCCTAGAAGATCAGCAAGCTGTGACGTGTTGGGGGACTCAAGAAACAATCGTTTTTTGCGAACGGATCGGCCATGTTCCATTGGAAGATCTGAAAGACTTCCCTGAGGAAACTCCTGAACTTCAGCAGCAGGGCGACGATGAGACCCCCAAAGAAAACTTGTTCAGGATGATAATCAGCATGGTCCATTCATGCACGGTCCATGCTTGCTTGGTTGGCTTAAAAGGTCTCCCCGGCCTCAAACATGTCCCAACTCGTGGAGCATCTTCCAAGTGGGGAAGAAGCACCCTCGGCCCCTTCGGAACCCTCCGACAGGAACCCGAAGGCCCCACGGATCCGTGGTCGTTCGGGTGCGGATCCGTGGTTCTTCCACTTAGGGAGCGGTTGCGGCTGCGGGTCCTAGACCGTAGACCGGGGGAGTTGCGGAGTTGCGGTTGCCGGGGGGCACATGTCCATGCGAAGGTTCTTTCAAGCGGTTGAAGTGCAGTTCTTTGGTGGGGTCACCTCAGCCACGAACCTAACATAAGGGTGTTCTAAGGATGGTGTTTTGTACCAAGACCACAGCTCAAGGGTTCAGTTTCAGATCAACGAACCCAGCCTGGGCCGCGACTTGGCTCAAGCTTTAAAGAAGAAGGCAGTATCCTTCGACTTGCTTTCACATGGAATGGATATGGATGGCATGGCCCCCCCAAAAGAGAAAGCAGGAGTAAGTTCTGAACATGCATATGGGGGGGTCGGATCTCACTACACTATAGAAAGGAACTTCAGACATGTGATTACAACTGGATCATCTTCTCGATAAAACGGAATCATACCATGCAACTATATGCACAGATGTTGATTGATTGTACAACATGTAGATCACTCCAAATTGTGCCCGTGCCAATACTCAGTTGCGGACAATGCGGACTTGGAGAAGCCTGATACTCCTCAAATATCCGAACACCGCTGATGAACAGCGTGTGCCGTGTGCAGAAGACCTATCAAGCTACAAAGTGTGCATGCATGTTTTAATGCAACATGCAGCAACCATTGGTGGTTGATGATTGAGCAGATCATCACATACTCGCATCATCCCTTGAAAGCAAACTTTGAGAGAAGCCTCGCATGGTCAATGGCGGTTTGTCAACAGGATGCTGAAACCTCCGATCCTGAGCGGACGGCTTTGTCACAGACTCCAAAATGGTTCTTTCACACATATAGCAGTAGGTCTTGGGCGTATCGGCTATCGGTTTTAGCCCGTGGTGCCGTGGTGAAAGCAGTGCCGTGGTGCCGTGGTTATAGTGATTGGTTCTATGTGATGAGGCGACCCAGAGAAAACCCAGCCACAAGCCAACCTGTGGAGTAATATATATATATATAGGATGCGCCCACCGGATGAGTGCTTGCCCTTGCGGGTCCGTGCGGCCAATGTCTTGAAGTTGCCCTTCGAGCCTGGACACCCAGCAACCGGCGTCCGCCCGCGCCTCGGCCGCGCCGCTCGGAACCCGGGCGCCGCCCGGGAAGCCAATGGCGGAACCCCGACCTGGTTGGCAAAGCCAACCGATCGAGCGATGCAAGGGTCTCCATTGGATTTCTCGTTCGGGGCCGCTAGGGGCCCAGACTCTTTTTGAGGGACTTTTGGGGATTTTGTGCTCAGTTGGTGCATGCCACTTCCAGCTTCCAAATACAAACTCGTTGTCCTTTTACAGAGGGTGTCTCATGATCGCAGAGCTCTTCCACCACTTCGTTTGACCGTCCTCGGTCCTGCGAAACGGTGTGACCCTCAAGGAGCAGTGGTTTTCCGACCGACCAGTTGTTGTTCGTTGACAGCCAGCTTTCTGCCGTCTTCGGCGACTGACTGGCGCACCGGAGGTTCGCGGCCTGCTGGGCTGCCGAGCTGGTGACGGTGGCTTTGCTGGGCCTCGAGGTGTCTGACTCGCCACCGAAAGGCTGCACCGGGGGCCAGGCGCAGCTGGCTGCGCAGCCGCCTGGGAAGAGCGACCGGAAGAGATCACCTTTCGCCCAGCCCAGGGACCAGAGGGGCACCTGCCTGGTTTGGGGATGGTTTTGGGATGTTTTGGGTACGTACATCAAAAAGGGTAGACCTGGAAATCAGGTTTGACAAGCCCAGTGATTCAGTTTTGCGAGGTATACCAATCACTGGCTTTGGTTGAGGCTGAGGGAAGTTGTGTATTTAAATGTATTTAATCATATTCAATCCAAAGTTTTCCAATAAAACCCAAGCTTTCTGAGGCTTTCGTCGAGAAATACACGATGTTCGTTGATAGATAGTGTCAGGATCTATGACATGAGCCGATGGAGTCAAACCCTGGAGCCCCATGGCCATGACAGGTTGATCTCCCGCAGTGCGATCTGTTAGTCAACCAGCCAGGGCTTTCCAAGTTCCATGGCCGATATGATACCTTATGGTACCTTCACGTCATTTCACATTGGAAAAATATGGTTTGGATTCTGGATCCCCGCGCCAGCTGGTCAACAAAAAGCACCTTAAACAGCCTATCGAGGAGCAGCACGAACAGCCTACGCCACCCGGATAGCTTGGTTCGGCGCTCACACAGGTGCCCCGAACTGAGCCCTTGTGGGCATTTTGCTTAGCCTTGAGGTGTGAGCCTTAATTGGATGGGCTTGAGCCAGCTTGATTTTGAGAACTCCCTGTAATCTCCCTTTGGGCAGTAGGCAACTCTAAATTAACAGCACATCTAAATCCAGCAGATATATATATATATATATCAATGTTTCTCTAGGCAACAAAAACACATCCAAATTTTTGTGTAGTACCAAGAAAATCATCAACGTCCTCTAGCCCTCTAGCTTCCGCCGGCAGCTTCTCCCAGCCCAGGCCGTTTCTGCCAGCCTTTCAGCAGTCGATCGCAGAACAGGCAGAAGGATAAGTGGCGTCGAGACGCCAATGGGATTTGACAAGCCACCCACATGTCGTCTTTTTGCTGAGCTCCTCCCTTTCCTGAGCATCCAACCATTGAAGAGGGTATTTAATTAATCTTTAATGATTTTTGTAACATGGTGGATTGGAATGCATATTTTACAACCTGTGAACATTAAACTAAGTTAAGTCGCAGCCTCTACCCGGCGGCACTGTCCTGGCGACCCTGGCGGTACCAGCCAGGCGAAATCCGGCCGCGAAAGCTTTTGGGCACACTACGATGCACAGGCCGATGGATTGATGAAAACCATATCGCAGACCATGGGACTTACATTATTTACCTCCATTGACCCCTTTAAAAAGGCCCACCCCAATGTATGCAAACATGACATTGAAGTGTGTTTATTTTTTTAAGCGGAAGCCACGGACGATGGAGTCGTTCAGCTGTTAGAGTTTGTGTTAGGAGTTGTGTCAAGAAATGGTTTTCTGTGCTTCATGAGTGCATGTCAAAAGTCACGATTTCAGGAGTTCAATGGAGTTCAGGAGCCATTTGTATAGTTTGTGGTGTTATTTATTGTAGCGCTCACACGCCTGAAATCTCTTCCAGCGCCGCCAGTTGCCAGACAAGCCAACAACCGTTTTTTAGGCTGCTTGCTGATCTTCCGCCATGGGGTGGGGCAATGGCAAGGGTGGCTATGGTTGGGGCTATCCGCCAATGATGATGATGATGCCCTGGGGCAAGGGCAAGGGCAAGGCAAGTCCGCTCATGCATGATGTGGATATAATGTGTCTACTACATTCTACTATACGTGTTTGTTTGTGTGTGCTTATGTTCTTTTACTTGACGAGTTTGTGGCCTTGGCAGGGCCTACGTGGCTTTGCGAACGAGAAGAAGGTGTGGATTGGAGGTTTGCCTGCCGGGCCCACCAGCATTGAGACCAACAAGAAGCTCAAGGAGCACATGTCCCAGGTTTGAGCCTCAGTCGGATCGATGCAATCAACGAGAAACTAACAGTTGCAAACAGTTGCAGAAATCAACGAGAATGGTTTGAATCATACCCCTGTAGTGTATCACAATTCTTTTTTGGGGCCAAGAGAGTTTACTGTGTGCTTACTTCCTTGGCCGCCTTGGCCGCCTTGGCCTTCGCATTGGGTTCATATTCGTGAGTGGTTCGCGGTTGAGCGGAGGCTGGTGAATGCATTTTTGCGGAGATCAACAAGAACGGCATCGCAGGTGCTGCATTCAAGACACCGGAAGAGGTGCAGAAAGCTGTGGAAAGCCTCAATGGTTCCATCTTCGAAGGCCACACCCTTGAAGTTGACATTTGGCAAAAGAAGACTCCTGAGACTGCACAGAGCTAGTCACGGAGGGACAGAGCAGAGCAGCAAGGCTGGCGACAGAGCATGGAGATAAAGGGAAGATTACACATGAATCAGGATTAATGATGCGCCAAGCTTTTGCTGGTCTAGTGAGTACTTTAGCCTGTGCGATTTTGGCCGATAAAAGAAGTCCTTTGCCTGTGCGATGTGAGTCCTGCTCTTGGCATGTGTTGAGCTATTGGTTTGTTCAGCGTAGCAGCCATCTTGCCGAGACTTGGCAGATTCTGCAAGCAAGCAGAAACCACCACAGCCCGCGGGACACCTTTCATACTCGTAGCTCCTCTTCGGATGATACGAGCGACTCTTGTGGTCGTTACCCTCAGAAAGGCTTATTAAGGATACTTAAGGTATCTCAAGGTGAATATATATATATAGTAGTAGCATCGCTATACTAGTAGCAAGTGCATCGCTAATTACTAGTAACCAGTATAAATATAATATCTAGGTGAATCTGAAGTAAGAACACAATCTACAGCAGCTCTCGCGGCTCGCGATCAAAAGCGATAAGATTCGGGCGATTCGGTCGACCAGCTAGGCGAAAGATGCGGTCCAGCTGACCCGCCAGGCGGGTGCGGTCCCGCTGAAGGATCGGAGCCGGGACAAACGATTCCATAGGTTGGAGGCCATCGCTTCCATACAGGTTGGAGGCCATCGCTCTTATGTTGAATTTACACTCTGGAAAACTAACATGGACCGGGGTCGAATGGCACCCTGAGTCCGACTGTCTCCTCTAGCTGCACCGGTGGTTTCAGGGTCCACGTTAGCTGTCCACGGGGTATATACAGTTTTTTTTGGGGATGAAGTTGAATAGATCCCTGTAAGATATAATGTTGGATCCTGATTAATAAAAGGATCCTCTATAATGCTCATTTTTTCAAAAATACGTCTGAACCCCATGTTTGTTTTAAGGTTCCTCTATTATGCTAAGTTTTTGGAGGATCCTATTTTGTTGTTATCTGAACAATTAGTAATAGTTAGGGTTCTAAATCCTTCAGAGAACAGTGAATACTACTAAGCCAATGACTGGCTTACTGAGATGAGATTATTGATAAGTATAGGTGTCTCTAGTTCTTCTTCAAAACTGATAGCTTCCCAAAGCCATCAATTCCTTAATCAATCCTTTATGTAAAGATTGCTCCTAAACAAATGTTCAAGGTAGTAGACCAAGGCCCCTGATCCTCAATATTCATATCAGAGCCTTTCATGTGGTAAGGCGAGGACAGCCTGGTGTCAAAAAAACAAATCAGAAAAGAAGAACACAAGTCAAATGCAATACACAAAAACACAAAATACAGTAGTCAAAGTCAAAAACAAACGGAAAAGTAAAAAAGACAAGTCGGACAAAACGTCAACAAAAAGGTTTAAAAAACAAAAAAGCATACATCTTTAGAACACAACTCAAAAAAATCAAAATATTGTCAAGCAACAGTAAAAAAAAAACGGCCCTAGGCCAATTGACCTTTGTTTGTTTTTTCTTTCTGAAACTGTCTGATTTGACTTTGACTTTGATTTTTGGCACCGACTACTATATATGTTGATTTATTTTGATATTTTGTGTAAATCTTTGAAAACAGGCTCTCTCCAATGAATGATGTTTATAACAACAATAACATTGTTCTTGGGGTCCTCAATTGTGCAAAGTTGTTTCTCAGTTAAAAAAACATATTACAATCTTAATAAAGACTTAATACTACTAAGCCAATGGCTGGCTTGCTGAGAGTATTGATCAGTATATATAGGTTTCTCTAGTTCTTCCTTAAAGCCGCAGAGAACCTTCTTTGTACTCTTCTTGGTAGTGTAAAAGGATTGCTCAGAATATCTACAAAGAACCTGAGAACTGAGAACGGAAAATGCATAAAAATAATATGAATTTCAAAAAGGAATTAATACTACAGTCAATTACAGAAGGACTCCTTCCAGCAACCGCAACGTCAACAGCATAGCACAACGTAGCATCCAACCCAGTGTGCAACGTCACAGGAACGTCAACATGCCCCCCCCCACCCCAACCCCCCCCCCGGGGGGCATGTTGACGTTCCTGTGACGTTGCATATGTATGTATAATTCTGTGCATGTAAGAACAAGAATGTGATGTAGTGGTTGCGTTGCTGGCAATGGCGCTATGAAAACAAAACCGCTAGGCTGTTCACAGTGACAGCCTCCACGTTGCGTGCACACTGAGCTGGACCGATCGACTTTGTGAAAAGGTTCCGATCGAATCGGTAAACATATGTGTTTTCTCAGGTTTTTTCGTGTTTCAAGCGAATTTTGGTCCAAGTTTTGGACACGGAATTTCCGATTTACAAGAGGTTCCAAACCCTCTTTTCCATTGTTTTTTGCAGTGGATTTGCAACACCTCTGAAGTTGGCGTGCTAAAACGCACGCGCGGTTTTAGATCCGCCGGGTAGTTTATTATAGAGGACCTCCCTTTTGTTTAGAGGAGGGCGGGATTCTTTTTTTCTCTTTTACTAATCAGGATCCTACACTATATATATATAATACACACATCGTTTTGTAATGCTATCGCTTCACAGCCTTCACCAGCCAGAGTACCACAATCCAAAAAGAGGCCGTTTCGCCTTGGAGTGGGACGGGAAATCTGGTTCTGAGTGGATGTTCCGCCTCTCTTGAACTGGCGCTCGCGCAACCTCACGGAACATGGTGGCCGTTGACGGCAGCCAAGCCTTAATAAACTAAGGTATACATATGTTCACAATGAGCATCCGACTTCAAGCCAGTCACTTGTGGGGAAAACCACATCTTCGAGTTGCTTTTGCTCTCCAGCTGCGCTGCTTCGCTTCACTGCTTCGCCACTGGAGCCAGGTGGGCCCCCCCACCATGCGCTGGCTCCGGCGATGCTGGCAGCCGCTGAGACACATTCCATGCCACGCTCGGGCGTTGAGGGTCGAACAGCTCCGGTGGTGGTTTAGTCGAATGATGTCAAATGGAACCAGACAGCCTGATGGATACATATAGCTACTTATTGGTGGAACCTCCAATCTCACCCCTGGGTGTTGGGGGGACGGCCCTGAGTGAAAACCACAGGTGTGTTGATGCAAATGGTCCAATGTCAAGGTCTTGGTGTATGATGTTAATTATGAGTCGCAGTTGGTAAAAGCTATCACTTTTACTAACCATCATCATCGATCAGACATACTCATATATAAATATATACATACACTGTACATATAGCCTTGGTTGTATGGTTTAAAATTAGAGGGGCCCACAGGTGTAGGAGTACAGCTGGACAGGTTTTGAGACTTTTGTTGATGACTTGTGGCCTCTTCGACTTCTCATCTTCGCTAGTGGCATGCCAAAAGATCCATGAGGCACTGTATCATTGGGCCAGTGTCACTCAAAATCCTCAGCTTGAGAGGGTTGGGGGTTGGGGTACACATCTCAGTTGCTTTGCCATAGCCAACTGCATGAAGTTGTAGGGTCTAGAAGTGGGTCGATGGCTGCTTGTATGAATGGTACACATGACAGTGGTAGCTGGTGACTTCCTGTCTCATGGGTTCGCCTGTCATTGGACTCCGCTTGTTCGCTCATAAAAAGGATTGAGCCATTGATCACAACAGAGAGCTCCAGGAGGGAAAGTTGAGGGAATGCATCCTGTGTACATGCTGATATCTTCCGAAGAGTTTAAGCATGTTGGTTTTCCGGGGTTATTCAACAGCTGTTGACAAGGGTTCAAGCTTGAATTACATGATTCTCGTACAAACCGAGGAGAGTCCATCACAAAAGCCCTAGTAGAATGATGTAGAAGCCCTTGGTGAGGCCCAACAACAGAAAAAAAGTATTAAGCCCACCAAGCTGCACAGCTGTTGGTGAGGCCCTTTGTGCCGTGTGCATGTGTGCATATGCGTGCATTTTGGTTCACGTCTGAGGCGTGTCTTGAAAGCGGACTGGCAAAGCACTCGCCAGTGGCCGGGCGACCTCACACGGGCGCTGTGCACAGCTGTGAACAGTATGTAGTGTCCAATCCATTGGATCGGGTCATTTCTGGTTAAACGGATAAACGGACAGATATTAATACAGAATGTGATATATGGTCAACAAAGTCCTCAAGGCCCTAGGTACCACTTATGAGGTCATTCTCCCCGCATTATTGCTGATGTGTTCTCATTCTTTCATTTCTAATTGAAGCCCTTTCATGATTATATGATAAGGGAGTCAATAGGATTGAAAAGACCTGAAATGAACTCCCAAAGTAAAGACAACAAAGGCAGGACATGCTCCGGAGACAGAGAATCACATTGATCATTGGGTAGTTGTGAATTTGGGATACAGGTGTATACTTGTAAATGAAAACCCGGCTGGGGAGGCTTACGTACATTTGTAAGTTCGTGAATGTTTTTTTCTCACTAAAGTGTTCTGTTTGTTGTGTCCTTTTGATGGAGAATTTCATAAGGGCCATGGATGATTCCTGAACCTGTGTAGAGTTTTTGAACGACAGCTTCTTCCAAGTGCCAGAAAAAAAAGCATCAAAGGAAATCACATGTCAAAAGAACAGACAATAAATAAACTATGTACTGTAAACAATAAATAAATCTATCTATCTATATATATATATTTAACACAAAACAAAACACAATGAAACAACTACAATAATAAGGACATCCAAAGAACAGAAAACACAATAAAACATCCAAATAAAGTAATAGACACATACCATATACAAGGACATTCAAATTTTCCAAGACAACAAAGAAGACCGGAAAGAAACGACAGCAAAGACAAGAAGACAACAGTTAACATATCAGGATTCATCCCACCTACGCTTCGCCCCGTGGAGAACTCGCGGCGTTCGCCGCCCTTCGCCAAGAGTTTTCAAGAAGCCTCTAGCCCACGTGAAGTCCAACTTCGGATCTGGGATGAATCGGTCCAACTCGGTCCAACTACCTCAGTGTTGAGTAACGATGTTCGCTACTAGGAACAAGTGCATCGCTACTAGTAACAAGTGCCTTACTACTGTCAACAAGAGGCTACTACTAATTTGATTATAATCAAATTAAAAGGTATTTTTGTTATAGTGTTGTCATCCATACAGATGTCCTCTCACCCCGTTGGAAGACTTCCTGTGCGGCCAGGCTCAGCGAAGGTCACTTGGCGAAAGCGGAAGGAATGCTGCAGATCTTTGGGCATGGGACAGACAGACATTTGCAGTGTAGGTGGTGATCCACGAGAGTGGCGCAACTCCTTGGATGCTGTTCTAGGTTGCGGTTTTCGAGTAATGGATTCTAAACCTTTGGCTTCCTGAAACAGGCGGACAAACCTGCGTTCAGTTTGAACGGACTGGCCTTTGCCAAACCGCTGGCCCGGTGTGGAGTGCACCCCGAGACATGCCATGGTTCTGCCCAAGTACTAGAGTGTCGAGGCGTTTGAGGCTAACCCACTTGGTGCAAGTGGATGACACTGGGACAACGCGCTAATGTATGCTAATGTGCTCACTGAGCGCCTGGGGACAAATGTGTGCTTTCAGGGACCTGGCCTTCGCAGGGTGTTCAGAGCACACACGTCTTGGTCTCTCCAATGCATGAGTGATCTAGATCTTGCTTCACAATGGAGCCAGGTTCCCAGTGACTCATGTGGCTGTAGTTCAAAACCTCCACCAAACCCATTGTAATGCCATTGCTTCGGTCGCCTTGGATCGGCACACGGACCGGATCCGCGAGAAAGGCGACCGGACGAGACCCGGCGAGCTGCGATCGAGACCCGTTTGTAGAGAGGTTAAGTGACCTGAACTAGGACCCTATAGGGGTACCCAACTGGGATAGTCTATAAGGTCCTTCAACCTCTGTTGTAGAAAATCATCTTCCAGGAGTCACAAAAAGGAGTGGATTGGTTCGTCCCATCCGCCGTGGATGTGGATGTGATGTGATGTCCCGACTTGAAAACCCCGTCCCCTTCGTTCTCCCTGACGTGGTGACTGGTTCCAAAGGTTGGTTTTCAGGTTCCATTTGGGTCTCCTCTCACCCGAACCGTGCACCAAGGCTGCCGGTGCCTCATGCGCCTGGCGCGGCTCTTGTCCTCCCTGAGACCCGGTGCCCGAAAGGTCCGAGCACCGGGAATTAGGAGGAAAGTCGAGAATTTCCAGGAAGGCAAGATGTTCAGTCTAAATCTAGCAACCACTGAGGCACTATGCTACACATATATATATATATAGAGAGAGAATGATGTGTATATTTACATACAATATCATACAATACTGCTGATATTCAATTGACGCGTTTGCCTTCCTGGACAGTCTTCGGATTCATCCCAAACTGTCTGGGACTGTTCGCTGCAAGCTGCTCTTCGCTCTACGAATCCTCGAAATTCACGCAACGACAACCTAACAACCTACCCAGACCATCCAATGTATGACCTAGATTGGGTGGTTTAAAAGGGCTCAATGTCCGAAATTTAGCCCACTGAGTAGATGTTTGATTTCTTTGCATGCACAGCAGGAGCTGTCGAATTGCCCAGAATTAGTTTGAGGTGAGTGATCAAACCAGGTCGAACCGGTTTGCCATGGGATTGGATGTCCAGGCTTTGCAAAGCCAGCTGGAACACCTGGGCCGTGAGTGTGAGGAGGTGAAGGAGATCTTTAAGGCTCAGCCAAGAGAGAGGAGCTCTAGGCATCGCTACTAGTAGCTAGAAGCTGCGAACGTAGCTGCTGGCATTACTGCTAGGAACAAGAAGCTACGAACGTAACAAGGGCATCGCTTCTAGTAGCTTCTTGCTACTGGTAGTAATGCCCTTGTTATATCAATGCACTTGCTACTAGCAGCTTCTTCCAAAATTTATCGACAGGACGGTTCGCACACATGCTGAGGTCAGTGAGACCATTTGGGGGGTCGTAGAGGCCTTGTCCCTCCAACACACTTTAAGTATAGTCTAGTCAATTGTTTCAATCAGGAATGGCGACCACCGACCAGACCACTATTTCAATTAGACGCACTCCTGAGGATAACATGGGCTCTGTGCATGAAGTGCATGATGCATGTGTTCAGAGCCCGAGAGAGTGCGTTCCTTTGAACATCATCCTGTTTCAGCTCGCAGCTCATTCGTCGCATGGATGTCATGGATTCGTCATCTTGGATGCTTGGATGAAATGGCAGTCCTAGAGCCAGGAGGAGTTGACAAAGTCAAACATAAAGCAACAGTTATATGATTTCTCTCCTTCAAGGTACGTAAATAATAGGACTACGTAGTCTTCGTCATGATCATCACACGTCATTTTCCTCCTCGTCCTCGTCCTGGTGCTCCTCTTTCTCATTCTCCCCTGCTCATCCACTCATTCCTTTCTTGCGCCCTCGTGACAGGCTGGGAAGCTGGAGGAAGCCGAGGACCGGTACCAGCAGTTGCTGAGCCGTGTTCAGGCCTTGACCTCCGAGGCCGGTCGTGCTTTTGACTGAACTTCTGCAGTGCTTTAGTCTAAGGAATGATGGAAGGAACATCCGGACACATCAATGTCAATGGGGCAGCTTGAGCCATCTAATCTTATTCCCTCATTCCGATCAGTAAGCCTCACTAGCATCCACGGCTTCGAAGTGGGTAAGACCCATCACACTGCCTGGCTCAAGGCTGACTTTTCTCCGACCAAGTGGATGGGGCCGCGTATGTCATCCAAAGCACCATGTTGCAGACATCTTGTACAGTGGAACATGATCAACACACATGTTCATCTTTGCTGCGCTGCCAACAGGTTCTGAAATTTGTCCACAGATGAGAGAGTGGCTAGAAGTATATAACACTAGACTCTAGACCATATGATCTAGCACATCACACTTCATTTCACCACTTGCGGCCATGATCAGCCCTTCAGACTCAGAGCAAGCGGAGAAGGAGCAGAAATGGCTTTGGACGTGGCACCAGCAGAAGCTGCAGAAGGAGAAACTCTTTGGCCAGAAGGCACCCCGGTTGGGCAAAAACACGCGCTTGCGCAGATGTGGGAAGGTGTGAGCAGTGAGTCGCACGCCGAAAGCCGGTTCTTCCAGACACCGCATGACACTGCAGGCAGAGAATTTGGTCCTCAGAAAGCTTGAAAAGGACATGACTGACTTCTTTCAAGTGTCTTCTTGGGCATCGCTAGGAGCAAGAAGCTACGAACGTAGCTCCTGGCATTACTAGTAGCAAGAAGCTACATAACAAGGGCATTGCCGCTACTAGTAACATCTAGTAACAAGGATGGCCTACGAGGGCACATCAAGTTTCAGAGAGGTCACCTCAAAGTCCAATCTGGACCCTTCAAAGTGCCCTAGAACATGTGTTCACCAAAAGTGAATTGACAGGTCCATTGAAAAGTTCTGTTTTCTTGCTTCACTGTTTCACTCAATTCGACCTTCCAGATCGAGGTCCATTCGAGGTCCATCCGGATCCCTAGGCGTCCAACCCCTGGATTCGCGATCTTTCTGGACGTCCATATTTCCTGGGGCAGACCACCGGTGACTCGCGGCCAAGGCCGGCCACGATGCGTGGCGTTTCGGAGTGGTGCGACGTGTCGGAGAAGCGACGTGTCGGAGAAACCGCAGTGGAAACCGCAGGTCTGCGAAAGTCTGCGAATATCAATATCTATATATATATATACTATACTCATTTAAACTGTCATCTTGTGTCAGAGATTCACCAGGACCACAATCTCCCCTTTTGACACATAGACCAGAACTCGAGACTGTCCAACGGTGAATGGATCTCTTTGAATGGAGGACTGTCTGCCGGAGGTGTCCAGCTTCTTCCAAGTGAACTTTTTGGAGGACACACTGTGTCCTCAAACCAGGGGATCAAGTTAGGTCACTTGGAAGAACCAGGGTGACTTGGGACAAAGAGAGTGTATGATATATTCTGCTTTGAGATCCCTTGAATCATTCCTTTGCATTACGGTGCCTGGGCGGCAAACCCGCGCAAGCAGGCTAGCCAACGCACGAAGGATGAGAGAACAAACGTCACATCAGTGAGTAGCAAAGCTTTGAGGATCAAGTAGTTACCACATAGAGTGCCTTGAACAAGAACGCTGGACCAACCCCTGGAAGTCCGGCGCCGGACCATCGAAAAGTGCCAGACTGAGGTTCAAGTTGTATAATGTAGTGATATATACACACAGGACACAGTCGTATGACCTCCTTTTGGGTGAGAAAACACATAAATTGTAATTACTTCCTGACAAGATAATCTTGGTGCCCTCGGGCATGGGCTTTTGGCAAAGGATTGTCACAGATCGATGACAGTAGATCCACATGCCAAAGTTGGTGATGATTTCACAACCAGCCGACACCTCGTCAATACCTTAACCTGGAACATTGAAGCAACAAATTCTCGCAAGTCTCGTTCTCACTTCCCACTCCTCCGCACCTTTCCCTTGCTGCCGGTCAGGCACTTGTTGCCGAGCTCGGCCGCGCCTCACATGGCGGTGACACACTTCTGCACCGAACAGCGACGAGCCTTCCAGCTGGAGACCAGCGTGTGTAGCTCCAAATACTCGCCGAGCAAGCCTCGATTCAACAAGAGGCGGCCGCAGCGGTCTTGACGTAGAGGGAGTGCAAGAAAGAACGGCCTAATCATGGGACTAGGAGATTTACCAACACCTACACAAGCCCCTAAAATCCCCTAATGTCGGTAAATACTAATTTAGATTGTTTGGAAATGGGAGTGTCTTGAAACAAAGAGATCCTGTTCGTGCAGACAAAACAGTCCAAGGTCCTCGGAGAATCCAGTGCTGCCAAACCAGAGTGGTGCAGATGTGCCGAAAAGTAGGTGGAGACAGTCTCCCCATTCGACGCGAGAATTCAAAGACAACTATTGAATTCTGAACTCGTCATGTCACTGCGATTTCAAGCGACCCTAGAGCTGAGGCCTTATGAAAAATAAGTGACCGCAGACCTTCAGCAACCAGGGGATCAGTTTCGTTCACGAATGGAAGAATCAGGAACTCTTATTCCACCATGGAAAGCATGGTTTATCAGGGTATAGACACCCCTTTATCTGTGTTTTTTCCGATCTTCTTTGCTTTCCGACCCACCAGGTAGCCGTGAAACGCCAGCACAGCTCGCCGCTCGGCAGCGGTCTTACCGCAGCGCCACAAGGGTGTGTTGCTGTATACATGTGTGTTTGTTTTTGTTCCCGGAATCCATGGTCCACCCCAAACTAACATAATCATGTCGAAACGCCTTGGTGTCTTTACGAAACGTAGAGGGTTACTGTTGACGAAAGATATCCCATGAATCATTTTAAAAGTATATTTTCTGATTCTTTGCGCATGTTCCCACAACGGATTTGTGTACTGTTTTGCGCTTCTTAGGTGTTTTGCGCTTCTTAGGTCCTAGGTGGTGTCACTGTTTCTGTCAACTGTATAGATTCTAGGTTTGCTTTCGACCTTTGAACAAGCCCCTCCTTCTGTGCACCTTGGCACACAGAGAAGGAAGGGAATCAACACGTGGACTGAGGGAGTGTCCCACGATACTCTCGCTTTAATCAATAGCTTCTGAGTTGCACAGAGCACACGGCAAGATACTTTTGTTGGTTCAGTGCCGCTGTCATGTGTTGTAATGCTAATTTGGTGTGTTTCCAAGTTTCAATGGTCCATTCTTGGCAAAAAGAACTGCATAGTGTGGAGAATGTGTTTGACTCAGCATGACAATGTCTCGCTTGCGCTTCGAAGAAGCTGCAGTCGCATTAGTTGTTGCCTTTCCAAAAGGAAACCCTTGAGCAGTTCCCCTGCAATCAATTCCTCAACTTGGAGCCATTCAAAGGGAGTTGATGGTTTAGTCAATGAGAGCCGTGTCAGTTCGCCGCGTGTCAGTTCGCCGCGTGTCAGTTCCCTGGTCCGGGGTGATCCCCCGGTTTATCCCGCCCTGACCCGCACGGTCTGCAGCCCTGCAGGAGTCCTGTCCCCAGTATTCGGTCGTAGCGGTCGCCATGAAAATCGAGGTCCTGTGATCGGAACGAACGAAAGCATACGTCCATGCGGCCATGCCATGCAAAGAACGACATCAATTAAGACACTCGATCTGGGAGTGCAGCATGTGACCAGGATTCTTGACGAGTGTAGAAAGCATGTTCTTGTGGTGGTGCTGCTCATTCAGGCATAGCGACTCTAGTTTGCCAGTCTGGAAAAAGTGGCTTATTTGGGCTTGCGATGGGTCCTGGAGGGTTTGATATGTACCACTTTTTCTCTGGAACAGAGTCCAACCAACACAACAGCACTGACGAATCTGCAGGCTACAAAGTAGTAGCGTTTTCGCTTCCAGCAATCAGCAGTAGCGCAACCTTTCCTTGAACATGTTGTGGCAACGGATCCATACAGGGGGCCCACAGTGATTTTCTCGGCACGAGTGATTTGCCGAGAGACCAAAAAGCCAAGCGTGTCCGTGTCCGCCGACCGGACGAACGACACTGTGGGTACAAGATGCTACAAGTACTGGTAGCCGTATGGTCATAGGCTCTTGCATGCTTCATTTTATGAAGTATGGATGGGCCTACCAAATAGTTGAACTTGAATTCTACATAGACTTATGATACTTATGGGGTATTGTAGGTTGCTCAGCAGGAATCACGGCATTTTGATGATTGGCTGGTTGCAAGGGCTTTTGGACGGATAACGACACTGCCCTAGCCGCTGGCCTTCCAAGTCCGTTAAAACATGATCCCTTTTTTGTAGCCTAAACTACATGATCAAAGAACATGATTTTTTGCAATTTTAGGGTCCGTGCGTCTTTGTCTTTTTCACATGCTTCGCACTCTCACCATACCCGTTTGGTGATCTCCATGGCGCGTGAGTGCATCACCTTTCAGGCGCCCTTCCAAGATGTCCGGAAAGAGGAGGTGCGAATCTGGACGCCGCTCGGCACGAGAACCCGCTCCGCGTCCGGGACAGCCGTCGTGGAAGGCGGAGTCGACCGCGCCAAGCGTGAGAGCAATGCACCACCGGGCCTGGTGATGATAGGGGTCGCAGGGATGGATTTGCATTGAAATGGGGTAGATTGAGTGTGCAAAAGGATGCTTGTCTTCACCTGCAGGTGTATTTCCCTTTTGACACACATGACCCGCCACGAGTCGGACGACCAGTCGAGATAGACGAACACTGAACGCTGTCAGACCATACTGAACTGAACCAAAGTAGCGTGGTGCAGTCGAGCGGTGTTTGGGTTTCAAGATGTGTTTGGATGTGTTTGGAGAGAACACCGAACCAGCGTGGCAAATGGTGGGAGGTACAGTGCTGGAGCGAAGGCTCGCTCCATGTTTGATCCTGATATCGACTCTGGTGTCTCCAGTTCTAAATTCTGATGTCTCCACGTGTTTCTCTTCATGTGATGATTTTTGAGCCCAGGAACTTGGCCCTTTGCCAGAAGAAGCAGGGCCGTCAGGGCCTGAGGTCGAACAGCTGGTCGAACTCCGCAGGTTCGGGTGGACTCGTCGGACCTGATTGTGTTCGTTCGGGACGTGGTCGAGCTTGCGGCCACGTGGAATGGTGGTCCATCCAGAAATCGATGTCCACATGGATGGTCGAACGACCAAAACATCGACACCCCAAACACAAGTTTTCCAGCAGAACAGTCGACAGAGTTATTTAACACCTTACAAAATACAGGATCAGATGTTCCACCTTCACATGCATTGTTCTTTTCTTGGTTGAATCCGGGAAGGCAGCAACAGTGGGTCAACAACAACACTTGGTTGTTGACGGTATGAAGGTTTGCATAGTCCGGACCTACACTTGATCCAACATTGTACAAGCTGCCTCTGGGGCAAATGGCAAAGTTGGTGCATGGTGAGGTTTGCCAGTTTCTGCAGGTTCCGAACATTCAGGATCCAGGAACAACAAAACCAACCTAGGAACCCATCTAACATACCAAAACTTTTTGGACATTCAAAGTCCGACTGAAAGGATTCCACGCCAGGAAGGTATGAACTGGTCCAGATTCCAGACCATTCCGGTAGCATAAGACCAAAACAACTACTGCGACTCGGTAGCATGGCAATTACGGTGCCACCCCTTTGTTGGCTACCTTTTGAACCTTTGGTTCTGTTTTTGTTTCACAGTTCATTGATTCTGAACTTTTGGAGTCCCATCTTCGGTCGAAGAACCTCCACATCCGTCCACATCCCGGGTGATGGCAGTCGGGCTATTTGTCAATGATGTTTAGCAAGGGCCAAGGCCTTCAGCCACGCCCAGGCGTCGGAGATGCAGCCTCCTCCGCCTCAAGAGCTCTGGAGCTGGAGCCTTAAAACGTGAAGGCTGGGGACCGAAAGATCACCCTAGGAAGGCCGTTCTTTCTAAGGACAGCACCTTCTTGGAAGGCCTCGGAATGCCACTCCTGAAAATGTTCGGGCGAACGGACACCAAGTCTTTGCAATGAGAGGAAACTAGGTCCTTTCTTTTCTTGAACGATTTTGAACTACCAACCTCAATTCATGAACTTGTAATACTTGTCCTATCAAAAAGAGTGGCAATGGCAAGCAGGGTTCTAGCAACTACAAGTACCATGGAGGTGTGGTGTCATGTTACTTCGATTGGGTTGGTTTGAGTTGTCAGGCTCAACTAGCTCGAGGTAAACAAGGTCAACAACTTACCATGTCCCTTAAATCGTCAGGTGCTTCTGAGATCTGAGAGATCCCGTTCTTTGTCAGTTCCCCTAAATCGTCGAGGGATCTATCAGATCTGAAGAAACGGCAGAGTTCCCTTGGCAGAGTTCCCTTTGTTTTCTCTGTTTTTTCGAGATCTGGATGATCTCTCGAGCGCAGTTTTACAAACGGTGCCAGGCTCGCTTCCTGAGGGGCTCCTGCCAGCCAGACGCCCGTGAGGCGATCGAGGATTTGGCCAAGGCGGATGAGACGGGTCGAGTCTGGTGGAAGAGGGTATACGGGCCCCCTGGGTCCTTTGATGGGAGATGTGACGATGCATCTGATGTTGTCGATCTTCTTTCCCAACCCAAAAATGTGAAATCGAAGACATATGACCAACCAGGGCCATCCCATGGGGGACCCCATGCCCCATCCTTGGATGGTCCAGGGAGGCTTTTGTCAGCTGGGGCTGAGGAGGAAATCTGTTTTTAATATTTTTGGGCCAGCAGGCCAGGCCTGTCTTGGGTGAAGGTCCCTTGCGTTGACACCAGGATTACATGTTACCTGTAAGTCTCCGGGTCTTGGAATCACATGGTATCACCATACTAGACCACTTGTGCATCTCCATCCATTGAACTCCGCTACACCTGGTGCACAATTCAGTTTCTACACGCTGTCAGCGAGGCTCCCTTCTTGCTACATTCACCATCGTTCACTCCAGTTTGATCCAGACCAGGCATGAACAGTCCTTAGGTTCATAGAGTACTCATAGGCCCCAGATCCAAGAAGGAGCCCTTTGTGGTCCCAAGATGTTCCAAGTACTGTCCGAAGGTGGGCACAGGCTCCTGTCAGTCACCTAACCGAATGCCTCCAAGAAACCGAGTCCAAACGGATCTAGGGATGGAGCCTTAAACAGAGACCGATGAATTAAACGCAGCTCAACAAAAAGCGTTGCTGTTACTTACTGTGGATGGCCTCGGATTTTCCAATGTCCTTCGGCTTTCCTGGTGTTTTCTCGAGGCTTTCACCTTGGAGCCGACTCTAATGGAGGCGAAGCGCGAATGGTTGCTTCGGCGCAAGGCGGGAGGCTGAAAACGGCCCTTTCTTTTGACTGTAGGACTGCGTTTGACTCCACCAGACAGAGCGTTTTACAACCACATACTCCCAAGCAGATATGAGTTTGGTGAAAAGGCACCATATTCGGAATCGATATCTTGTTTTGTTGTGATTTTGAAGGTCAAACAAAAGAAATGTTGTTTGTTTGTGCGTGTGTTTGTGTGAGTGTTTTTTTGTTCAACATACACAGCTGAGAAGATGGCGAAGATGGATAACTTTTTGCTACCTTGTTTGGGCGTGGAGTGGTGTAGGTCCAAAGGGCACGGCCATTGGACCATCATGACACACTGGAAAATACGTTGTAAGTTGCACCTGTCCAATGTAGCGCATCCCTCCTGAGCTTGACGTTTGTCGCACATGTTCCCGGAATATTACTGCAATAAAGAGGTGTATGATGGTGAATATTGGACCATCATGCGACACTGGACAATACATTCTTAGTTGCACCCGTCCAATGTAACGCATCCCTCCTGAGCTTGATGTGTGTCGTACATGTTCCCAGAATATTAAAGAGGTTTATGATGGTGAATGATGGTTTAATGAATGATGGTTTAATGAATGATGGAAAGCGAGTCCCAAAAACATGATCGCCCTTCAAACTACAGACGACTGGTCAGGGCGAGGACACCTGGACCAAGGTGCCATCGATCGTCCGGGGTGAGGGTTGGACACACATGGCCTAGATTGGGTGGTTGAAAAGGGGATCAATGTAGACATACATTGAGTGTTTGGGTTATGAAAAAGATTGGAATTTGCAAGCTTTCTTTACTGTGTTTTATGTTAGATATTGTTGCATATCATATCTGATACAAAGTTACATAGTATTAAAGTCTATCTATAAGTTGGCCGGGCCACTTCGTCCCAGTTGACATGGTCGTTTTCATTCGGTCTCGCCTGGTGCTTCAAGCCGCCCATCAGCCCGAAACTGGCCACTCCTCACATCCCGCTGTGTCAAAGGTGTGAGGATTCTGGTTCATGTGAAAAACAGGCGAAAAAAGTGCGAATCATCAAGGACAGGAGGAACCATGAGGAAACGTTTCGGGTCCTTTGCGCCAGAGTATCACCTTGATCGATGTTGCATCAGGGCGATCCGTGACCGGTGCATGGGGGGTGATCCGGTGCATTGGGGGTGATCCGGTGCTGATCTGGTGCTGATCCGGTGTTCCAAGACAGACCAAACGGGACTAGTTCGACTAGTTCGATGATCCTTCCAATTTCCTCAAACACTACCTGTGTTTGAAAGAAGAAGGGGGTGTTTCATGGAGATCTGAGATCCCTTTTTGGGGGGCATGTAGGGGCTGGAAGCAGCCGGGTGACCCCTTCCATTTGGTGCTGGTAGATAGTATCTTGACACACGTTTTGCCAACATTATTGGAGCACCAAAAGACGTACCCGCTTTCACCGAAATGAATTTAACACATTCCGAAACATACGTAGAAACGACGTACATGAGTCATCTGGGTGGATGTTTCAGAGAGTTTCATGTTTAACCTTTCTTTGGATGGGTGAGCCCATTGGCTTAAAGCGAGTTGAAATACCAACCAGGTCAGACCGTTCGATCAGGTCATTTGTCCGACATGGTCGTCGTCCGGTGATTTTTCGCTGGGCGTTCTCCCGCTGTTTTCGTTGTCACGTGCCACATTGAGTCTTCAAGAAAAAAACCGTGACCAGATGTTCTTTCTTGGAGACTATTAGTAAACTAATAGTTCCCAGATGTTGTTTCAAGCTTTGGACCCACTTTGGAGGATCGATGCATTTCAGGTTGGACTGGTGCACATTGCATCCCTTCAATCCCAATCCCCATTCTTGGAGGAAGCTGCATTCTCAGTTCTCATATTCTGCTTTCATGCAGAGTGGCCTTTGGAATCTTAATATATATATATATACACACCCTTGCAGCCAAGTGATCCATTGTATTCTTTTCTCTTTGCGGTCTTTTTGCTTTGTGTTGTTTTTTACAAGAGGTTTGACCCTTGCGCCCTCTCAACAATGTTACTGGCATGGTGATATCATGCACCTTCATACCACCAGCGCCAAAAACAGAGATTCGATAACCCAAAGACCCAGCGTCCAAGGTCGGGAACAGGTCACGGTAAATGGAGATCCCTCTTCCGACAGGCTGAAGTCTTGGCGATCATGGCAGATGTGACTCGTGTACAGCAGTGTGTCCAGGAGGCGCCCGAGGGAGCGATGGTGACTGGTGGAGCGATGTGTTGGGGGAGCGATTCAGTTTGATCCAGCAAATCTGGCGACTTTCGAAGCTATTTGGGCCAAAGGAACATGAAAAATGAACAGCCACCGGTTGAATCGTGTGTCCTTTGAAGGCACTCCAAACTCCAAACTCGCTGCTGAGACATTGAGAACGCAGCTGTTGACTGGCTTGATAGCCACCCGAAGCAACATCATTGGCACAAGCTACAAGGGCAGTTGCCCGTTGTGCAGAAATTGCTTAAACCAAATTTATCCACAGGCTTTCCAATGTGTTAAAGGGGACTGTACTGCCCACAGATGTCTTCTTCTTGATACATCTTTTAGAGATGTTTGTTCCTATACACTCTGATCACTAACATGGAAGTGGAGAATGGCCCCTTGGAAGACGACTTTCCTCTACAAACAGTGGGTTTTCCACTTCCATGTGGTGTGTTCGTTCGTTCGTGTATCGCCTTTTGGTGCGTCTCTTTCTTTGTTTACGAACCGACCGGTCGGTCTCCGACCGACCCGGACCGACGGCTCAGCGAGGCCGTGAGCCTCCTCGGTCAGACGCACCTCCAAAGCAGGCGCCGCCGAGAATCCGCCCGGAACGGAGCTCCCGTGATCCCGTGTGGATGGGGCGCTTGGGGGCAGACACCTTTCCCGGGGGCGTAGTGGCGTAGTGTTCGGTCAGTGGATGCCATGTCTTATTTCACCTCTGGGGGCCTGTTGGACGTTGGATCCAGGGTTGGGCAAGATGACTGACATTAGAAGGAAGTTGTTTTGGTGCTCCGATTCGAGTGATTTTCCCCAGATAGCGAGAGATATTGGGATTCTTGCTTCAAGTCTAGGAAAAGGTGCCTGTGTGCGCTTTGGAACCAGGGTGCTGGTGGCCACTGCCCTGGGGTCTATTCTGGTGCAATATGTTTTTTTAGATGCTGCTGATATGCATTGGGCTGAGCCCCAGTGTTTCCGCTTCCGTGACGAAGAGTGCCAATGATGTACAACGGTGCCCCGTGTTGCGCCGCATTTTGAAAGACAGAGATCAGAGGGTGGTACTGTAGTTGTATTTTGGCCTGTACTTGTATGATACTCTCCCGGTTTTTTACGTATCCGTTTAAAGGCTTTTTCTTTTCTTTTTTGGTTAAGTTAGGTGACCTGGAAGGTCAGATCCATGAGCAGGACACGTTAGCGATTCAAAAGTTGTTTTTTGCAAACATGTGATTTGGACAGGTTAGCTGCTTAGGGGTCTTTGGCTTGCAATGTCATCCTGGGAGTAAAAGCATTATCAAAAATCCTGGTGTGGGATACTGAGCGTTGGCAAGTGAAGTGCTGGTGTCCCGCAGAAGTGTGGCTCCCTTGCTTTGGTGTCTTGGTGGACATGTTTGCGCGGACAATGCTAACATGTCCGTTTACGAATTTAAGAAACCCTAAGATTTTGCAAAAAAAAAGAGCTGACATAGCCCGTCACAAAAATGGGCATCTCTTCTGTGATGGGACAGGTTAGCAGTTTTTTCGAGGCATGTTGGGTCATGTTCAAAATCATTACGATACCGGTTTCTCCGGTTATTCCCCAGAAAATACCGCTCTACAGCTGAACATGTTAGGGACTAGTCCCAAATGCACCCCGGGACACGTATATCTGAAAGAGTGCAAATGGCAGAAAAAGACATTTGACGTGAGAACACTTGACAAAAAAAGGGATGCTCATAAACGCATTTAGTACCTCTTAGTATAAGTGGTGTATATACCGTGGATCCAGTTGCAGCTACTTAGAATGATGTCACCGGCCTGGATCCCACTTTGCAGTTGACTTCAAGTCAGTGGTTTTTGGCAGAATGACTATGAGGTTGTATAATAACCCCCCCCAGTAAGCAGTTTAGTAGGATCAGTTCCGTACTGGCACCTATACCATGTCATGTTGAAAACCATCCATTCGGTAGGCACTGGGCGAACGGCAGGAACGGCTCGGCAGAATGGCTTCGGCTTCGTTCCTGCGAATCCTTTCGGATCCTCCGCGGCCAGGGAGAAGGAACCGCTGAGCTTGATGGAAGCGCATGAGCGCCTTGGAAAAAAAACTGCGGTGACCCGCCGGAGGAATACGGAGACCAAGGTCATTTGCAATGGTACAAGCGGCCGTGAGCAAATCGAAGGAGGAGCAGTGGAACAGTTGGTGAGGTTCTTCTCAAGACATATGGTTGGTGTGTCCTGCAGATGTCCTTCCCAAGCTCTTCGTCGTTTCCGAGGCTCGTGCGCACGCAGGGCCTTCCCAAGGATCCCTTGAAGGAGAGCGGGGAAAAGTGAGGAGTGGGTCCAGTCTTGGAGGAATCCCGTTCGGGCAGCCCCAGAAGGTGAGACTCCCTGGTGGTAGACCCCCCCTGGGCCCGGTGGATAGAGTAGACCCCCTGGCCACCCGAACCGCGGAACCTTCGGTAGGCGAGTCTCGAGCCGTAGACAAATGTAGAACCCCCTGTTTGGATTGAACAAACTCTTCAGGAGTCTATATACATGTTATTTAGAAGCATTGCAGATGATTGGCACTGGTGTTTGTGAATCCTCGCATGAGGCTTTTTGAGGTCATCATGTCAGGGTACAAGAAGGACCTGAAGCCACTGAATGAGCGGTGCAGGGGTCACAAAGATGCCCAGGTCAACAAGCTCAGCCAACTGTGGGCTTTCAGCCATGCTACAAACAATGAGATGCCCGATTCCCAACTCAATCAAACTCACCAGCTCTCGCTGGGCTCCAGCTTTCGTGACCGGTGGATTCCGCGTCTCGTTCCACAGAGCCTCGACCGGAGCCAACGGTAAGAGCCACGAGCTCGAGGACTATGGGCTTTCCACTGAGACCTTCCATGAGCTCCTAGGCACCTACCAGGTGCGGTGTCGAGATTGAAGACCGACGGTGTTCTGTTCGGCCAATCAGAGTGGTGTATGGAGTTGTAGCATGCAGATATGCAGGACATGACAGTACATTTCTTGGGATTGAAGACTGTATTCGGATCAATTTGCGACATCCCTTCCTGGCACCTATCCTGAGAACTCTAGCATGCTGACCAGCCCTGCAGATTGATGATCTCTACTGTCAAACATGCCAAATTGTGCAAAATGAGATTGCAGCCTACAGTGTGGTCAGTTGTTCCTGAAAGTATCCTTGAGAGGTCGTTGTCGAGTCAGGGAAGCTGGCAGGATGAACCAGAGGTGATTTTGAGAGCTCAGCAGATGATGCATCCACCAGGCGCGGTGCAGGTTCGGTGGTGATTTTGGAGACCACTCACGAGAGTCACGGCCGGGTCGGGTCAGCAAAAACATGTGGTAAAAGGCCGTGCCAGCAACAAAGCAAGAGTAGGGATTGATGATTTACATATATATATATATATGTGGATTCTGAATGATTCTGATATTTGTATGATATATATATACACTATACAATGGTGTAATATATATATATATACTCATACATGGGTGTACAAAGTTTACAATTTGGATTGATGTCAGCTTCTATAGGACCTGCACTTGGGTCCATATATGGTCTTTTGATCCAAGACATTTCCGCACCACCCTGTGACCCTGTGGTTGTTTGGTGTGGCTAAGCATCACATGGTTCGCAGGTGCCTAGGCTCTTGCATGCTCTTGCAATTCTTTGCCATGTTGGATCCCTTGACTTCTATTTAATGCTGCAAGTTTGGACACTAGTTGAGGAGCTGCACATGTCAATGATGCTTTCTTCCTCAATTCATGGACGAACGGTTTCAACCTCAGGAAAGAACGAGAAGACTCAGTTGCTGCAGCGGGAAGGTTAGTGACTAAACTGCTACATCCTACCAAACACTGTCATGGAAGGACGGGGCGACCGTCAACGAGCACGACAAATGACAATCGAGCAGCTACTCAGTTGATGGGTGGGTGAGACTTGCATCTGCGGGAGCAAGGCTTGTACTGGGTGGGGCACACAGAAAACACCAGACTGCTTGTACCAAGACTGTTTCTGCTCAGACCTTTAATACTCGGTATATGAGACACAGATGACAAAGCTTGTATATACTCAGACTGCCTGTTGGCGGGCAGGTTATTTTTTTTGTTGCATCCCACCTTCATGTCATCACACTGCTTTGAGTGGCCAAGGGAGAAGTGCATTTGATGGCGACCATTTCGGGAGTGATTCTGTTGCTCCATTCCCGGATGGGTGGGTGCCGGGTGGTATGCTTTGTGGCACAACCCTGTATTCAATAGTGGGCTCATTGAGAAGGCTATGCTAGGCAACACCCTCCTGAACTTGCAGTTTTGACTTGCTTTGGGTGTGGATATGCGTCTGCGTCAAGGCCATCGCTAGTCAGTAGGTTGGAGGCCATCGCTAGTAGGTTGGAGGCCATTGCTAGTAGGTTGGAGGCCATCACTAGTACGTTCGGGGGCCATTGCTAGTAGGTTGGAGGCCATCACTAGTAGGTTGGTGTGTATATTTATATGCATTTGCGATCCTTCGCGTCAATCCAATTGGCCAACTCTGCTGCCGAAGTGTGCACCCTCAGGATTGTGCAAACACATGAGGCAGGGGCGAGACACGGCGCAGACACGGCGCTGAGTCCGGAGCAGGGAAATTCACTGCGTGTTTAGTTGTTCTATTGCGGGAAACACAAGGATCTATATAGCAAAACATCTGGCGGAATCATACTTTTGACATGCAAAACCAGTGGTGAACCCGATTCGTCAGCGACACTCCAGACATTGCTGAGCCTTGACCCAAATCGCCCAGACTACGCCCTTGAACCTGTTGGCGTCCGGGTAGGCGTGTAGCCAATAGTTCAACACTTCCCACCCTGTGGTCACCAATTGGATAACATTATGTTGTAGGTTGAGAGTAGATTGCACACATGTCCAAGCTTGATGGTTTATATGGATCACCATCCCAAAGAGATCTTCCCGGTGCCATCTACTCACTCTGAAGCTCAATAATACAATGACTATATGAAACATGTTGCTTGAAGGATCTTGAAAGCACCAACTAAGTAGTCTTTTCTTTGATACGGGGTTCCATGGTCCCCCTGGCAGGCCATGGGGGCTGTGCTTCGTCGGATGTTGGAGGAGCTTCGTGCCTTGGATCCAGCACAGCTGATGCGCCTGGAGCTACAGGCGCGACTGGGCCGGACTGTGGTTGGGAATGTCATCCCCAAGTGGATCCAAGGAACCAGCGTTTTGTAGTGACTCTAGGGTCTCCCAGTTTTTGTCATTGGAACCATTTAATAGCACCCTCCAACAGGTGCTTCCTGGTGCAGAAACCATCTGTGGTCGGGTCTCCTTCTTAGAGCCTGGCCCTGGTCGGGTCCTGGTATATACTTACACATATATAGTTACCTTTTAATTGGATCCACCGGATCCCCTAAGATCCTTCGGTGGCCCTAGCGGATCCGTTGCTCCAGGGAGGGAATCGACAAAACGGTGGCGCCAAAACGGTGGAGGGGAGAGCCCACATGGGCAGAAAGCATCCATGCAGCACCCAGCAGGCCCAACAGGCAGGGGTTTTCCCACATGTCTTCACCCTTTGGCCCCATTTTGTGGTGCTTGGATACGAAGGTCCCAGAGGTATCAGACCTAAACCCAGAGCATCCATATATATATATATGCGATAGTTATATACACATATACCCAATAAATTCTAATCACTCATGTAGGATAATGCATATACATATACCCTAGCCTTCCAGCGCCATAGCTACTATGGTCCTCCGGAAGGACCATTGCTACTTAGACCTACCTATCTATCCTGCCCCTGTGTGTTTGTCTCAGGTTGCCGCGCTGCATCTCAGGTTCAATGGGACCATGAGGAGGAACCAGAACACACAAAGCATACCAACCACATTGGTAATGTCGGTCCCCAATGGTGTAGACTCACATGAGCAACCTGAACATGGCACCCGCGTTGGACTAAATCGGATCTTGGCTGTGCAAACCAGGTGGTTCCAATGATCAATACAAAGCTAGTGAACCTTTTTATATCCTCGGGCAATGCACCACATGGCCGATGAAAAGAGCTCTTCGAAGACGTCTGGGCCTTGTATCAAAGAAAACCTAATGTGTTAGTTGAGTGATCCAACAGGTTCCTGGGTGGGGTATGCCCGTGGTTTGTGCAAGGTCAGCGGGAGGTCGAAGAGAGACCTCCTGGGTTCTTGGAGGATGAGTTGGTGGGTGGCAGAGGTGCCGTCCGTCCTACACTTTTTCACCTTTGTTCGCTGAAGTCGGTGTTGCACTGCTCGCACTGCAATTGCACGCAGTGAAGTTGAACGCAAATCTGCCGTGCGTGGCTGAAAGCTCAAGGACCGCAGCTCTTTTTTTTTGGAGTTGGCATAGATCAGATCCATGCCGACCACAAGACCCAACATGGAGAGAGTGGCCGTTTTGGAGGTGCCATAGTTGTTTCCTTTGCACCTGAATGCCACAAAATACGCTAAAGGAGATACATGTAAAGGGAAAACAAATTGTTTATCTTGAAGGCGTTCTATGAGGAGTTCTTCAAGGATGATCCTGACTTTAGGAGGAAAAGGTTCCTAAAGCTCAGTGAAGCCGCTTCTATTCCACAAGATCGGGCGATTCGGGCTTTGAAAGATGGTAGAGCAACTTAACTAATCCAAACAGTCGACACACTTTGGCAATGCATTGCGCGTTCAACTCTGCACATGTCAGCCAGGACATGTGTGACATAGTGTGGCTCAGGTACCAGTGAAGTTCAGCTTTGTGGATGTTCTCAACAAAGTGGGTGAGGATGAGGCTCAACATTTTGTCATGCGTGAAATGAAACACTAAAACTGTTTTCTGATGTAATCCTTTTACTTGAAGCACCTGGAGGTGCAGAAGGATGGGAACTACGAGTTCACTCTTGCCTGGTTGGCATCCTTTGCTTCGGACCCACCAACTCATTTGGAAGCCACTGTTCCTGGGCCTCAAACATTGCAAAGAATCTAAGTCTAGATCGACTTAACACACACTGATTTCAACATCAATTCGAAGCATCTGGGAGCCTTAACCAGACCTGAGATTGCTCTCACGAAGATTGGCATCACTCACAAGCTCGTCTCCTTGACGGGCGACGCAGCTGATGATAAATCTCGCTTACGGGACCTGTATGTTTGAATGGGCTGCATAGTCATTGGTCACTTTGAAGTGTGTTTGTGAATTTAAAAAACACATTGATATCGTTGATATGGCGAAGTGGTATATGGCAGCATCATTGTCATATATCGACAGGACTGGGCGGATTCAGAAGCCGGGCTTCAAAGAGCTCTCCCATCATACGTCCATCGGCGCACGCGCAGAACATACAATTCGAGGACCCTAGAATGTTTATGCATGTGGATTGGTGCAATCGAATCTCGACCTGGGCTTCCCATGTGTGCATACTTCAGGAAGGGTGCTGAGAGAATGGATGCGCTCAAGAAAGTTGTGTTGGCAAACTTTGAGGTCGGGGTGGCATGTCAAGTGAAATATTTGTCCAAGTCATGCCCGTGATTTCGTGATTTCTATGTGTCAAATAGACTTTGAATAATGAAATCCAGGCCAATGGTATCAAAAAGCGCTCACGCTCTACGCGTAGTTTTCAGAAGACTACCCCGAAGAAGGACTCGGATGCTGATGCCCCAGGCAACACGCGAGTTTCCAAGTCAGCCATACTAGTTAGTCTTTTTGGGATCCAACCGGCCCAACCAGCCTTGCAGGTGACATTGGCAAGCAGGTTCAGAGCGCTGATCCAAGCCTCGGAGTTTCCCAGCAGGATGTACCCGACACAGCTGCTGGGCTTGGTGAGTCTGATCATGAAGTGATCACATATATCGAAGAAGAGGTTGAAGAGGAATCAGAAACAGATGATGAAATCATCCATGTCATCCCACACAACAACAGCAGTGTCATGGAAAACAAACCGGAAGAGTTACCACCCGTTGCATGTGTGGAGCCTGCAGCTACACACCCTGTGGAGAGAGTGGCTGCTGTTTCGCCTGTGGAGCCAGTGGCTGTTGATCCGGTTGCTGGTGTTTCGCCTGTGGAGCCAGTGGCTGTGGAGCCGGTGGCTGTTGTTTCGCCTGTGGAGCCAAAGGCTGTTCCACCTTTGGAGCCAATGGCTCCTGTGGAGCCAGTGGCTGTTTCGCCTGTGAAGCCAGTGTCTGCTTCACCTCTGGAACCCGTGGTTGTTCCACCTGTGGAGCCAGTGGCCGTTCTGCCTGTGGAGCCGAAGGCTGTTCCACCTGCAGAGGTCCCACGTTCTCCTTCATCGGATTCTGACAAAGAAGCCAAGAAGGGAGTTTTCCAGGCCGATTTTTGGGGTTGCTTCTAAGTTGTGCTGCATATGTGTGTGTGGTGGAGGAAAGGCAGTGTCGCATTGCAAATCAAATTGTGCTGGGTGGTGCGCTTCTTTGCACAGGACTCACATCCATGTTTGCCACTACCACCACAAGCCCCACAAGACCTCCGCGCCCAAGCTGAACGTTCTGTTGAAGACGTGGATCGATGTGGCAATGATTTGTCACACGATTTGATTAAGGTGCACTTGGGTTGAAACAGCTGTGAACAAAGTTTGTCTAAGAATGGAATGTTCTGGCAAAGGATCTCATGTTTGTTTGGGTCTAGTTGTCCTTTTGAGATTTCCAGGCCCAGGCCAAGATCCGGAAAGCGGCCAAGATTGCTGCCAACCCACCCAAGGCCAAGCCGAAAGCAAAATCCAAAGGCAAGGCTCGGACTGAACCGAATGGGCAAGAAGATGAGGATTACGATCCAGACCTGTCAGAGGAAGATGCTGCAATCAAAGATCAATTGCAGCGTGAATCATTGAAAGAATTGAAAAACGAGAAACCAGCAAACGCACTGGAAACACACGGGGGCGTGGAAGGGGAGGTGGAAAGTCTCGAGGGCGTGGTGCGCAGCTCCCTGCTGGTTCAGATGTGAAGCCAGTCCCACCCCCAGCTCCAGTGGACCCGCCTGTGACTGCTCCAGAACCACCAGTTTCCCCCAAGCCACGTGAGAATGTCAAGCGCAATCTACATGCTGATTTTCATGAAGTGGCTTCTGTAGCTTCAGCACCGGACCCTCCGAAGGAGACCTTTGGCGTGCAAAAACAAGCCTAACTAATTTGATTAAGATTTCGATTGATCGAGCTATGTGGGGTGTTTGTTTCTTTTGAACCCAAAATCATCTATGACAGGAGGAACCCGACCCCAAGAAGGCCAAGCCTGATGGTGGGTCTTCATCGGCCTGGCGAGCCAAGGCGACTGTAAGTGGTGGTTGGATGTGCAATTGGATGGTGTCCAAATGTCAGGTCCAACTCAAAAACATCGATGTGTTGCGGGACCTGAGCAGACTTGAGAAATCTTTCACGATGTGTTCAGAATCTACTTTGCTCGAGGGCAAAATGTGGGACTCTCAAAGGCTTTAAACAGTAATTTGTGATTTGTGAGCTACAAGTCATTGATCGATGGCCAATCATGTATGTCCGTGGCCTCCTCATGTTGAGGTCATGGACATTGAAGGCACCTGCCAACTTGGCCAATGGAAATATCAAGCAGTCGACCATTGGTGTGCTGCAGCGGTCTCAATTGGTTCTCGAGTCTGGAGTTTACATAATCCAATTGTTTTCCATGTTCAACTTAGGCTGGTTGGCAGTTTCTATGTCAGCCACCCTGATCCATTTTTGGTCGTTCTTGTGAACCTCCACAATGGCATCTGCTTGGAGGCTTGAAAAGAAAACAACAATCAGTCCGGAGAGTACTTAAGATCGTTGAATCGCCTTTCAGATTCTAAAAAAAAGGTACTCAAACATTGAACATCATTGAACTGTTGTCACACGACCTTGTTAGGAGAACAATAATCATGCTTTGACGATCACCTGGAGCAAATTCCCATCTGTCTCGGATGCGCCTGTCTCTCGGATCGTGCCTAGTAGATCTGTGTGGGAAACCATGCGCGCGGCCTGAGGTGGAAGGTGGCAAAGCAGTTCGCAGGATGGGAGGATTTTGTCTTTGACTGGTCACTCATGGATTTTATGGCCATGTATGTCGAACCAGTTGATGCCGGAAACTAATTTGCTGTGCGCCTTTTATTTCAACATTTAGATGTTGATGTGTCAGTGTGGGTCTCGTTCAACTGTTCGT